GACTGCCTTTCATTACCACACTTTTTCTTTTTGTCAATGTTAAAGATTAAACAGGCAAACAATACTGCTGTGATGTGACTGCCTTTCATTACCACTTCTTTTTCTTTCATTTTGTCAATGTTAAAAAGATTAAACAGGCAAACAATACTGCTGTGATGTGACTGCCTTTCATTACCACTTCTTTTTCTTTCATTTTGTCAATGTTCATTTTGTGTGATGTGATGCCTTTCATTACCACTTCTTTTCTTTCATTTTGTCATTAAAAGATTAAACAGGCAAACAATACTGCTGTGATGTGAATGTTAAAAGATTAAACAGGCAAACAATGCTGTGATGCTTTTCATTACCACTTCTTTTTCTTTCATTTTTGTCAATGTTAAAGATTAAACAGGCAAACAATACTGCTGTGATGTGACTGCCTTTCATTACCACTTCTTTTCTTTCATTTTTTGTCAATGTTAAAAGATTAAACAGGCAAACAATACTGCTGTGATGTGACTGCCTTTCATTAATACACTTCTTTTTCTTTCATTTTGTCAATGTTAAAAAGATTAAACAGGCAAACAATACTGCTGTGATGTGACTGCCTTTCATTACCACTTCTTTTTCTTTCATTTTGTCAATGTTAAAAGATTAAACAGGCAAACAATACTGCTGTGATGTGACTGCCTTTCATTACCACTTCTTTTCTTTCATTTTGTCAATGTTAAAGATTAAACAGGCAAACAATACTGCTGTGATGTGACTGCCTTTCATTACCACTTCTTTTTTCTTTCATTTTGTCAATGTTAAAAAAGATTAAACAGGCAAACAATACTGCTGTGATGTGACTGCCTTTCATTACACTTCTTTTCTTTCATTTTTTGTCAATGTTAAAAATTAAACAGGCAAACAATACTGCTGTGATGTGACTGCCTTTCATTACCACTTCTTTTTTCTTTCATTTTGTCAATGTTAAAAGATTAAACAGGCAAACAATACTGCTGTGATGTGACTGCCTTTCATTACCACTTCTTTTTCTTTCATTTTGTCAATGTTAAAAAGATTAAACAGGCAAACAATACTGCTGTGATGTGTCAATGTTAAAGATTAAACTACTGCTGTGATGTGACTGCCTTTCATTACCACTTCTTTTTCTTTCATTTTGTCAATGTTAAAAGATTAAACAGGCAAACAATACTGCTGTGATGTGACTGCCTTTCATTACCACTTCTTTTTCTTTCTTTTTGTCAATGTTAAAAGATTAAACAGGCAAACAATACTGCTGTGATGTGACTGCCTTTCATTACTAATTCTTTTTCTTTCATTTTGTCAATGTTAAAGATTAAACAGGCAAACAATACTGCTGTGATGTGACTGCCTTTCATTACCACTTCTTTTCTTTCATTTTGTCAATGTTAAAGATTAAACAGGCAAACAATTAAATGTGTTGGCAAAAAGATTAAACAGGCAAACAATACTGCTGTGATGTGACTGCCTTTCATTACCACTTCTTTTTTTTTCATTTTGTCAATGTTAAAAGATTAAACAGGCAAACAATACTGCTGTGATGTGACTGCCTTTCATTACCACTTCTTTTTTCTTTCATTTTCAATGTCAAAAGATTAAACAGGCAAACAATACTGCTGTGATGTGACTGCCTTTCATTACCACTTCTTTTCTTTCATTTTGTCAATGTTAAAAAGATTAAACAGGCAAACAATACTGCTGTGATGTGACTGCCTTTCATTACCACTTCTTTTCTTTCATTTTGTCAATGTTAAAGATTAAACAGGCAAACAATACTGCTGTGATGTGACTGCCTTTCATTACCACTTCTTTTCTTTCATTTTGTCAATGTTAAAAAGATTAAACAGGCAAACAATACTGCTGTGATGTGACTGCCTTTCATTACCACTTCTTTTTTCTTTTGTCATTTTGTCAAAAAGATTAAACAGGCAAACAACCACTGCTGTGATGTGACTGCCTTTCATTACCACTTCTTTTTTTTTCATTTTGTCAATGTTAAAAAGATTAAACAGGCAAACAATACTGCTGTGATGTGACTTTCCTTTCATTACCACTTCTTTTTCTTTCATTTTGTCAATGTTAAAAGATTAAACAGGCAAACAATACTGCTGTGATGTGACTGCCTTTCATTACCACTTCTTTTTCTTTCATTTTGTCAATGTTAAAAAGATTAAACAGGCAAACAATACTGCTGTGATGTGACTGCCTTTCATTACCAACCTTTTTTTTTTCATTTTGTCAATGTTAAAAGATTAAACAGGCAAACAATACTGCTGTGATGTGACTGCCTTTCATTACCACTTCTTTTTCTTTCATTTTGTCAATGTTAAAAAAGATTAAACAGGCAAACAATACTGCTGTGATGTGACTGCCTTTCATTACCACTTCTTTTTCTTTCATTTGTCAATGTTAAAGATTAAACAGGCAAACAATACTGCTGTGATGTGACTGCCTTTCATTACCACTTCTTTTTCTTTCATTTTGTCAATGTTAAAAAGATTAAACAGGCAAACAAAACAATACTGCTGTGATGTGACTGCCTTTCATTACCACTTCTTTTTCTTTCATTTTGTCAATGTTAAAGATTAAACAGGCAAACAATACTGCTGTGATGTGACTGCCTTTCATTACCACTTCTTTTCTTTCATTTTGTCAATGTAAAAGATTAAACAGGCAAACAATACTGCTGTGATGACTGCCTTTCATTACCACTTCTTTTTCTTTCATTTTGTCAATGTTAAAAGATTAAACAGGCAAACAATACTGCTGTGATGTGACTGCCTTTTCATTACCACTTCTTTTTTCTTTCATTTGTCAATGTTAAAAAAGATTAAACAGGCAAACAATACTGCTGTGATGTGACTGCCTTTCATTACCACTTCTTTTTTCTTTCATTTTGTCAATGTAAAAGATTAAACAGGCAAACAATACTGCTGTGATGTGACTGCCTTTCATTACCATTTGCTTCTTTTTGTGACTTTCATTTTGTCAATGTTAAAAGATTAAACAGGCAAACAATACTGCTGTGATGTGATGCCTTTCATTACCACCTTTTTCTTTCATTTTGTCACCACAGGCAAACAATACTGCTTTTTCTTTCATTTGTCAATTTTGTCAAAAAGATTAAACAGGCAAACAATACTGCTGTGATGTGACTGCCTTTCATTACCACTTCTTTTTCTTTCATTTTGTCAATGTTAAAAGATTAAACAGGCAAACAATATAGTGACAACTTCTTTTTCTTTCATTTTGTCAATGTTTAAACAGGCAAACAATACTGCTGTGATGTGACTGCCTTTCATTACAATTTTGTCAAAAAAAGATGATATTTTCCTGCCTTTCATTACCATTCTTTTTCTTTCATTTTGTCAATGTTAAAGATTAAACAGGCAAACAATATATATGACTGCCTTTCAGGCATTTTTCTTTCTTTAAAAAAGTGACTGATATCCACCACTTCTTTTCTTTCATTTTTGTCAATGTATATATAAAATTTTTCTTTCATAAAAAAACAGAATTGCTCAGCCCCTTTGTTTTGTGATTCCTCACAGCCACTTTTATGGTGTTGAATGGCTTTCTTGTCACTTCTTTTTCTTTCATTTTGCTATGTCAAGCAAAACTTGTTATTACTTCCAAAAATGCTCACTATATTCAAGACTTCATAGATGCCAATACTGCTGTAATAATGTCTCTTTCGATAATATCTACACAAGTAATACTTGTTCAAGTAGTAATTGCCAAATAGTATAATGATCCTAATAGAATTGTAATCAGATAGTAGTAGAGTACAGAGTGTGAATGTATAGCAATAGATGCCGGATAGACAAGAAACAGTGATTGTATAGTCATCACGCTACTTCCTATTTATTCACTTTCTTTATGATCACTTGATCGACTTAATAATAGAATCGCCCATCTTACTCATTGGCGATCTAGTTTGAAGCCACAGTGGTGGCACAACACTAACTCTTGTACAACACTGTCACTTCTCTAATGTGTATGGCTATTAATTTACTGGATGGTCTGAAAGTCTTGTCATCCCCTACCAAAAAGTAATGAGAACAATAGAATACAGTAATACAAAGCACATGTAATGGATTCAGTTTATTCACTTTCATTGACACTGTCACACATCAAGAAGGTCTAAATGAACACCATCATTTTTGTAGCACAAAATGAAATAGAAAATTAAATTATGTAGCAGTGGCAAGAATTTCAGAGCACCCTGTACAATGAATTTACCTAAAAAACTGAACCTACTCTTAAAAGTTTAGAAAACAAAATTTTTGTTTTTTTTTTTTTTTATATTTGTGATCTGGAATGTTTGTTCAATAGTAATTTAAAAAAAATGATCATCTCTTGAAGGGTGCATTTCTGGAAAAATAGAAGAAAATCAGCTGTAGTTAATAGTCACATTTGAGCCCGGTCCAGCACAGGTCAAGTTCTGTAGATTCTTTCTCCTGCTCATCTGTATGTCTCACCTTTTGTTCAGGTTTTTGGCCACACATACAAATTAGCTATAATTTTCAAAGTACTAAAACCACACATGTGCTTTACCTAAATCGCAAATGGCGGCTTCAACCAGGCAGGTGAGACATTATGGCCTCTTAGCCTCATCTAGCTTAGAATTCTTTGGTCCTATTTCACCACCTCAGTACACATCAGATCTCAAATTTGCTGGATTTGTGAAGTTCATTCGACAGTTAGACATTTCCCATATAACCTTGTGCATTTGCATAATTTTTAACTTTTCATTTTTTTTTTTTGTTAATTTTATTTATTTTCATATTGAAAATTTTCATGTCCTGTTAACTTTCATAATTTCTCTGCAATTTATTTTTTATTATTCTAACATTCTCTCTATCTTTTGATAACTCTGTGATGAGTATAAGTAATGGTTAACATCATTTGCCTGCATACAATAACTATAAGCACAAATACAGCAATATATTTTTCCTTATCTTATATATTCCTTAATGTTTTCTTTATAGGTGGGAATGTCTTTGGTCAGGCGCTCCTGAAAGGTTCACAGAACACTGCAGAGTATTCAGTCCAAACCTCAAACCAGCTTCATTCCCTACAAAGTAAGTCAACCTTTGACATATAACAGTGGATTGATAAAGTCTTCACTCTAAAAAAGGAAGTTTTATATCAGATAGAATTCATTAAATATCTCTTTAAAAATATAAATTTATATTTTTTTTTTATTAATAATTTCACCCCTAGCAAGACAATAAAGCTACTAAGATACAAGGGGTTACTGAGGCCAAAATAATTATCACTGTCGTTCACTTATGGAAATACAAACCAGCTAGGAACTGGGTAAGACTAAAACCTAATATAGTCTCACAGTTACTCACCAGAAGTACAGGTCAGTGCCATTAAGCTGCATTCCAATAAACCATGATATTGTTTTGTGTTCCTACCTATATATATATTTCTATACATTTTTATTTATCTAATTTCCAAACAATTTTTATTAAGATGCCAATTTAAAAAAAAAAAAAAAGAAATATATCTACTCAAATTTTTTTTTTCATTTATTAATTTCCACTCTCTTGCATAGAATGTACACCAACATATAAATAAATGTCTATCTACTCATTGTTAAACATTCAAGGACAAACACAGGTGGTTTCACAAATATAAATTTATTTTTTGTTTAATCAAATAATCTTGTGTTGATGATGGATCTATTGACATGCCACTTTATAATTGAAATCATTTTAGGTCATCGTCTTTCAAATTTATTCATATTGGTGCAGATTTTTATGTGAAATTAAAGGATAGCTTTAATAAATTTTTTTCAGAACTGTCAATATTCAAAACTTAGTATTGAATATGCATTTTGCATGCTTAGCCACTGTGTTACACATTTTTGCGGATAATTCCATGGATTTGACAAGCTTTTGTTTGGTGGTCTAAGCTGGCAATCCTGACATCACGGCTCATTTTTTATCTAAACCGCACACAGAAGTTTTGGACCCCAACTACCATGGTTTATCCCCGCTGACCTGTATATGCGTGTACACTTATCCATGTGCAACATGATACTGCAAATGTCCCGATATCATGCATGTATGTTTTCACAAGGTTTTACAAATATTTATTTAAATCTAAAGATGGATTAATTTCATTATTGTCATTATTGAATATATGATAAAACCCTTCAGGAAGAGAAAATTCCTCTAGCCCAAAGCGAGCTAATAAATTAGTTTTGAAAAAGGCACACAACCTTTAATTTTTAGGTGAATCTTCATAATCCAGAGGGTGGCACCAAACCATTGACTTATAGTCTGTGTGTATGTATGCAAATACTAGTTTGAATGTTCCCTGCTGACAACTGTGAATATATCTTTGACAAAATTTGTTAGTTTGGTAATATCTAATTTTAAATGTCAGTGGTGTACATAAAATTTACAAAATTGTAGTTTCTTCTGGCTTGTAATCAATTCCCGTACCATCCTGGGTATGATGATAAACTACATCCGCATCCTGGGTAAAGCAATAAACTACATCCAACAGCAAGGCCTCTGATCAGGAGGTTTTTAGAATCGTGAAACCACCTCTTAATTGCTGGCGTTCCCAGGTCCACCCTGACCTGGGGTGGTAGCACCTGTTAGGGTCGCAGCTATGGGCAAATAGTTGACACCCAAACTTGTGTAAAAATAGGTTTTAATACCAGAAATACTTTGTAATAAAAAAAAATATTACCAGCAATAATTTTTGAAGGAAAAATTATTATCAGCAATACTTTAAAAAAAAAAATACCAGCAATACAAACAGCTACACATTCTTTAAAAAAAATATGACCAGCTATAGATTTCTTCAAGGAAAAATATTCCCAGAAATAGATTTTTGAAGAAAAACATATTACCAGAAATAAAAATTTTGTTGGCATTAAATAACCCATTGAGGTTGATATGCCGTAAAACAAAACAAACCAAATCAATTCCCGTAATCTGTTTCCTTAAGTCTATCACTCCACTGACTGCAACATGTGTCTTTTGTTCACTACAGCTGTCACTGTTCTGCTTGTCACTTTGTTATGCACTTTTTTATATCTTCATTGACAGCCAAAATTTACATCCTAGAGGTAAGCCATTTTCTCAAGTTGAGACTGTTGCAAAAAATGCACGCAACGTCTTTGCCCTCTGCAGTAGTTCATTAAAAGTGTTATACTGAATACTTTGGTATTGATCAGTACATGCCAGCTAAGATCAGTAGAGAGCAGTATGAAACTTTTCATATGATTGTCAATAAAATTAATTTGATTTGTGCCTCATCTTTTGCCAGACATTTTTTTCTCAGTTATCAGGAACATACTGTTGTGGAGATAAACACACCACTCCAGAAGAGGACTTGGACTCGTCCAAATACATAAATACAGATGCTGAGAATCATCAGTAGAAGGAGTAAACAAGTAGAGAGTTAGAGACCTAGCTTATCTGCTTACTCCCTATTTCAACAAGACTACATTGACTCCAAGTGAGTTGTGTTCTTTATCATTCAAGGTAATGAAGACATAACAGTGGTGATGAGAATTCAAATTCACACAAAAAAATTTTCCCTCTTGCTTAGCATAAATAGCTGGCAAAGAAAATTCAGAATTCATAGAAAAGAATTTTTGGTGTTCATGTCTATTCATAGTGCAACAAATGTCCAAATTGTGAGCACCTCTTAATAATTTACTTCAAAAGGTTACTAAATGGAATTGGTCAGCAGAATGTAGAAAGTTTTTGAAGGAATTAAAAAATTACTAACTTCAGAGTTATTGCTGATACATTATGACCTGCACCGATAGATTATAGTGTTGTTGGATACAACTGAATACTGCATAGAAGCGGTAATAGGCCACAAATGTAAAGACGGTACAGTAAAAGCAGTCATTCACATTTCAAGAAGTTTTACAAATACGGAAAAATAGTACAATCAAATTGAAAAGGAAGCACTTGCTATAATTTTTGCTATAAAGAAATTTCCTAAGATGATATTAAGAAGAAAATTCAAACTGCAAACTGATCATCGTCCATTATTAAGTATATTTAGTTTGAAGAAAGGGATTCCTACACATGCTGCAGAGACTACAGCGTTGGTCTACAATTTTATTGAACTATGATTTCAAGATGGAATTTCTGTCATCAAAGAAATTGGGACATGCAGATGGTTTATCCAGATTGATATCAAAATCTAAAGAAGATGTTGAAAATACTGTGATTACTTCGCTAGAATCTAAAAGCAAATTTAAAAGCCTGGTGTATAACACTATTAAAAAATTGCCAGTCATGATAGACAATATCAATATTTATTCTCAAAAGGATACGTTTATTCAAAAACTATGAATGACATTAAGTCAAAATGGAGTGAAACTAAAATTAAACCTGCTAACAATAATACAGCATTTTCTGTTTGTGATGGAGTACTTTTGTACACAGAAAGAGTTGTAATTGCATTATCAGTACAATAAAGGATTTTAAAACAATTCTATGTAGGACATCTGGGAATAGTGAGGATGAACTCCTTGATGAGAAGCTACATGTACTGGACAGTGTTGGACAAATATCCAAAATACAGTGAGAAGATGTAATAGTTGTAATTCAGCAGCGAAATTGTCACCTATAAGTTATCAGACATGGCTGAGCACTGATAAGTCATGGGCAAGACTACATATGGACTTTGCTGGATCACTAAATGGTTCATACTATTGTGGTCAAAAGTTTCAAAAAATGGCCTGAGATATTGAAGTGTAAGCAACCTACTATCGCAATAACAATTAAATTCTTTGGTGTACCTGACAGTGTGGTATCCAATAATGGAACTCAATTTACTTCTAGTGAATTTTAAAATTTCTGCAAAAGCTACATGATTGAACATTTGACTATGCTGATTTATCATCCATGGTCAAATGGTCAAGCAGAATGATTTGTGGACAATTCCAAAAGAGCATTAACAAAAGCTAAAGGCTTGGAAGCTAAAGAAATGGCATTACAAGAATTTTTGAGAGTGTATTAAATGATATCAAATGCAAACATTACTGCAAAAATGTCACCTGTAGAGCTCATGTTTGCTAGAAAAGTTAAATCCATTTTTGACAAATTACTGTCAAGAAATAAGAAGAAATTTTGATAGTTTCAACCTACCAGATCATTTAAGATTTGGGATAAAGTTTTCTTTAAAAACATTAGAGCCAGAAAAGAAAATTAGTAGCAAGGAAAAATTATTCAATGCCTTGCTAATATGATGTACATTGTCGAAAGTGGACAATTTCATCATTGGAAACATATTAATCAATTGAGGTCTAGATATGCACAGAATAAGTAACCAGTACAATTTAATGTACTGATGGACATACTTTACAATACTTTTGAAGTACCTATTCCTAAAATTGAAATTACAATGCAATGCCAGGGTAAGTGAAAATATCTGACTGAAACGTTGGAAGTGAACCCATGTCAGAAAAATATTGAATAAGGAAAGTGGATGTCTAAAAAGTCGGGTGTTATGGAGATGAACACACCTCTCCAGAAATCATCCAAATACATAAATATGGACACTGAGGATCATCAGTAGAAAGAGTAAGTAGAGAGTTAGAGACCTAACTTATCTGCTTACTACCTATTTCAGCAAGACTACATCAACACCAAATGACATACTACTTTTGGATTGTGTTATCTTCATTCAAGGCAATGAAGATATAACACATAAATTCAGACTATCATTTGAAAATGTTCAAGACCCTATATATTAAATCCAAGCAACCTTACTTAGTGGGCCTTAATGTAATCCCTCTGTGGTCTGTAGTACTTATATATAAATGTATGATGAAGTGGAAAAAGTTTTTTCTTGATCACCTGTAATAATTGTCACAAAAAATACATAGGAGAAACCTCAAGGAATTTAAATAAAAGATTATATGAACACAAAAGGGACATTTTACAAAACAATACATCAAATTCGTTGCTTGCTCACTTTAACAAGACTGGCCACAATTTTGGCATAAAAAATGCTATTCTGATCAAAGGAGAAAAGAATTCACTATGATGAAAATGTCTAGAAAGTGACTTGATCGCAAGGTCATCTACAGTAAATTTGCACCTTGGCTCTTATTATGTTTCACCATTCCTAACAGAACTTCTATTATCATAGTGTGGGATATCTACTAACAAAAGTGATGAAAAGAAAAAGAAGCTAAATGAAATCGGCTAGATTAAAAAAAAAAATTAAATTTAAAATTCCCAACATTTGTGTGCTTGTGTAGTTGTACCAATATAACAAATTTAGTCTTATGAAGTCCTAAAGGGCAAAATGTGTCACAAGAAACCTTTTTCTACTTTGTCAAATATTTTGCCCACAATATATATATATATATATATATATATATATATATATATATATATATATAAAAGTACTTGTCTTTAGAGTTAAATGAATATTTAATCACTATAAGAAAATACTTTATTAAATTAATCATTATTTCTTTCAGCAGACATTCCATGCAGATAACTCCTTGATTAATGCTTTACGTGTCAACTGAAAAACAATACTACAATTAATAAATGCTATTACTCAATACATTTATACAGCAAGCAAACTCTAACCTTGGATAAGACTTTATATACTACCAAATACATGCTTAAAAGTGCTTCTAATTACACTATTAGTGACACCACCAAGTAAAAAAAACTTTAATTATGAATCAGCACTTGTATGTCATATTTCTTGGCTTACAAGATAAATATATAATTTGTCTAGTAAAATTGTTGAAAGGGGGAAAATTTGGTGTACTAGTCATTCTGCTTTGCAGTCTAACTTTACTAGTAAAATGTTTTTATTCTTTTTAATCAAACATTTTTCAGAAATAAAATAAAGCATCTTATATTTTGTAGAATCAACAAAATCTAGTAAGCAATTAAACACAACTGAAACAAATACTCAAATAGTAACCATTAGTGTTTTCTTAAATGTTTGGTTGGTTGCTTAGTTTTTTTTTTAACATTTTATACTTATAGTTTATAATGACAGACATTTTATCAAAATTGCAGGAGAGAAAGACTCTAGAATGAACAAACACATTTCAGAAAAAGGACATTTTGTAAATTGAATGATTTACTGTACCCTTCCGCACACAGCTGAAATATCAATTTTTCTATTGATATATTATTATGCATTATGCTTTATAGCATACATAGTTCATCCCGGCATCATGTAATCTATCTTGGAAAAAGTTTAACGTATGTACCTGCAAAAAAATAGTATGTTGAAAGGATGGTTTTTCTCTTGACACTACTATTATTCTATATATCCTTGGCAGTTTTTATTGTTTTAAAAAGCTATTTTTAGAATTTTAACAAGTTTCCAACCAAAGAAAATGTTTTAAAAATTTATTAAACCAAGTCTATTTAAGATAATGACATTTACAATTCACAGTTTTTTTGAGAGAAACTTTTAAAGTTTATTACAGCATTTATGGGAATAATGCTTTAATTGATCCACAGAGGTATGTTCTTATTTCTGCACCAGTCACATTCCAAATTTCAGGACTGTATATTCTTTTCTATGATGCGGCTATACTATATTTCTGCATTGAGACATGGGATAATACACAAGATTTACTTCTTCCCTTCACTTGGTTTTCTTTTAGCTTTCTTACCACCTACCTTTTCTCCTTAACACACCTTTTTCCTATCTCTTGCTCTCCTTCATATGTGCAGGTGGTATAATGGATAGTGGTACAGAAAGAGAAATCAAAGAACCAAGTTCAAATTTCAGTAGTTTTGTTACATTCACTTGTAAATGTAAATACCCTTGGGCAGGTATGAATCTATCTCTTTTCCTCCTTGATTTATGGGTTAAATAGTAGGATTTGTATCTAGAAAAATCATTGTTATTCTCAAAAATTGTTATTGTAATATTTACACACTGAAAAAAAATTCTTACAATCAAAAATGTTTCAGCTTTAAATGATCCACAAAGGGTTGATAAACTATAAAAAAATCAAATCAATCACTCAATCCTTTTTCCTATTCCTTCCAGATTTGTATTATTATGTAGGTTTCTCTGTCCAAAGGATGTGTGGGTGGTATAATGAATAGCAGTCTGGAATGAGAAATTGGAGAGCCAAGTTTGTTACATTCACTTACATGCAAAATGCCTTTGGTAAAGGTATGAATCCATCTCTTCTCTATCCAGCTATAGGTTAAATAGTAGGGCTTGTATTTGGAAAAAATCATTATTTCCAGAAAATTGTTAATACAATATTCACTCACAACAGTATTCTTATAATCCAAAATATGTTTCGGCTTTAAATAACCCACAAATGGTTGATAGGCCATATAAAAACAAATCTCTGTCAAAAAATATAAAGGCTAGGGATCAAGTGTGACGTCGTCCCCCGGTCGCAGCGCCAGCTGTGATGTTCTATCCTGCTCTACCACGGCGCCAGTTGTGACGTCCTCAAACAGCACCATTTGTGACGTCTTCGCCGCGGCGCCAGCTGTTCGCTCCTCGCTGCTCCGTCCGGGTGTCGCTGCTCCAAACGTGACGTCCGCCTGTCGCGTCAGTCGTGTTGTCTCGTCCTGTGACGACCAACTGGCTTGGTATCAGTCGCGGCACCCAAATGTGACGTTCTAACCTTTTGGTGATTTGGGTGGGAATCTGGTTAGATTTGATATCAGCCTCGTCGCTCCCAACTCGCTTCCAACGCCTGTTTACCAAGGTAACTGCATTGATCTCCAGTCTGCCTACCCATGTTGTGAATTGATCTTAGACGAGATCAAACAGTGGTTGGGGCCGTAATGCAAATTGAGTTCAACGGGGTGATAACACACAAATATGCATAAAAAGAAAAAATAAAAACTCAAAAAGTTCAAAGTATCAAAGAAAAAAGGTAACAAACTTTATGTCTAGTTGTTCGATACATAGGACTGCATCTATCTCCCGACCCGTTCTGTGGATTGTGACACATCGTTTTCACTAGGCAAGTTTTAACGCTTCAAGTTGTTTGCTCTCTAAGAAATTTGTGTTTGATGTGTCTTTGGACGAAAGTCGAAAAAAACTTATTTCGGTGGTCTGGTCCTAAGTTGCTCTTCAAAATAATTGTTCTTGGTTGAAGAGGAGTCCGAATTTTAAGTGAATCTTGGTCAGCTATCTCGGGCGGCTTCAACTCTGGAAACTGGAGCTCAAACTCTCTGGTCATTCATCTCTGCCGCCAGGGCCCGAACTCTCTGGACACTCATCTCTGCCGCCAGGGCCCGAACTGATTTCTGCCTGTTGGGGCCTGGCTTTTATTGACGCCGACCAAAACCAGGGTGGGTCTGTTGGCGTCCGGGGTTCCTCGATAATTCTAAATACATATCCACCTCTTTTATTTCTGGTTAGGGATTTTCCACTCTTTTCCATTTTTGGTAACTTTTCACTCCCACTTTCTCACCATACTTCTGAGGGGCGTGAACTGCCCTCCCCACTTCTTCGTAGCAGCTTCTCATACTTACACTCTGGATGGGGGTGTCGACAGCCTTCTTCGTGTGTCACGTGATCACTCTCGGCCAATGAGGTCTTGGTCGGTATCTTTCCTCCTCCTTCGTGCGTCACGTGATCACCACTTGACCAATGATGTCTTAGTCGGGCGTGAACAATCCGCGGCTTTGTTTCAAAAAAAAAAAAAAAAAAAATACCTTGCTTAACTAAAAAAAAATTAATTATCTCTTCTCTTTCCTTTTTCTTCCTTTCAAATCGCCGTTATCATTTCTCTAGTCACGAACGGATAATATGTCAACGCTTTGTTCAACAAGTGGCGTTTGTCAGGTAGCTTATTGCTAATTCATCAAGATGGTTGGTTTTCCCGACATGGCCTCAGAAAAGAATTATCCCCAAAAATTTCAGTCAGTCTGTCGTCTCCAAGGAAGAAAGAAAAACATTTCTGGTTCCCATTTATTTTCCTTCGGTACATGTGTCTGATAACATAATTTTATTATCGCAGGGCAAGTTGTTTTGTTGAAAGGAATTCGGTCAGCGCTCTGCTTGTGTGGGATTTAATTTTTCATATCTGTCCAAAGTCCTTTTTAGTGGCCTGTTTCTCATTACTTATCGAAATAGCATTTTCACTTGAATTTTTCCTGGGCCGGTGGTCCAGCCATTCGTTTATGTACCTAGATAACATAGCCGTTATCAAAACACATCTCGTTCCTTCTTTCTTTTCCTTTTCTTTTTTTCTCAGAAATCCCCTGTCATTGTAATGACACACTTTTTCACTTGTTACTTATCAATATTTTCATTGTCTCTTAGGCCATGTGTGTGGCTGTTTTATCACCTATGATCCGTCTCGCATTTCTTTCTGCCTTCTTTTCTTTCTCTTTCTTTCTCTGCCTCGTAAATGGTGCCACAAAGCAAATATTGATCAAAGGTAGAAATATATGCATACAATATGGATACTGAATTAGATGACGTCCTAACAGTCTTTATTTTTATTGCAGTCTGCTACGCATTGAATTCTGCCACCAATTACTTCATTACTATACTGAAATTGATGCTGTACAATTGGCTGGTTATACTATTGGCACCATACAAAGTTTCCAGCCATACTCCAAAACTGCAGCACCAAAATCACCTGTAAAAGATATTATACATGATGAAGCCCCAACAAATGGTGGCTATTTCCAAAAATTACCTGTAAGTTTATACTTATTCTTCATTATTTAATGTAACTATTCAAGCCACAAATTGCTTAATCATTTCCATTTTTGAACTTTTTCATATTGGAATATACATTTTTTTAACTGTTCTTTTACTTACAACTTTGATCATTTTAAAAAAAAAGGCATTGTAATTTTTAGTTTTCTGAAATAAAGTATTTTCATAACTCTGCATATTTTTGTGGACAGTTAGAAATTGCTCTATATTTTTTTCTTTTTCTCTAAGAAAAATTTCCCTATGTCACCAGAAAGTGTTTCCGTTGACAGATTTGGTACATGGTAGTATGACTTTGTTTACTTGTAAAGATTCAAAAGAAAAACAGACAAGCAGAAACCATGAACAAATAAGGAAGACTAAACAACATATAAACCAAAATATTGAGTTAAAAACAACAAAGATCATGATATTCATATAAAAAATGTGATGATAATTTAATTTTTAGTGAATTAAAAACAATAATTTTAAGTTGTCTAAATTTCTTAAAATATTTTTATAATTAATTTTTGATTAGTTTTTCTTTCATCTTTATTGTTACTTTTTATAACAATGATCAGATCATAATATTGTGATATAATATTAATTACTTTGGTCTTAAGTTATCTGAATTTCTTAGATGAGGTAGTTTCATTATTAATTTTTGATTAGTTTTTATTTTTTTTTATTGTTACTTCATGCAATATTGTTTGTGCTACTATATTTTATGACTGTTAAATTAAGCAGTGCGAATTAAACACAAAGAAAGAGCTCCTGACTTGAATGCACATTTGTATATCTGAGGAGCACATCTGACAGAAATGGTCATAGATACTAATGTAGACTTGCCTTTGCTAAGTTGTTAAGACTCAGTGGCTAAATTGATTAATGTGACATCTGTAGTGAGTATAGACCATGACACAACCTATACTTTCAAAAAAAGCAATCTCTTTTCTTTTTCCTATTCATAGGGTCACAGACCCAACTGGAAGCACTTCTCTCCAGCTAGTGGTACCTTTCATTGTTCAGAAATGTAGAATTTTGAACTTGGACTTTGCTGTTAATGAAAGACATATTTTTTCTGTAGCCAGAGTTTTTATCATTTTATTCCTACTTTATAGAATAAATATTTCACAAAATTTCAAACTGTTGTTCATTTGCTTTTGTTCTGTATCATCTTGTTGAAAACATTTTGTGTAGTAGAGATACCTCCTTAGTAGATATACAAACCACTTTGCATCCATATTAGATGTCTTTTTCAAATATAGGATATGATAGGCTACATTCTTACATCCATTTCCTGTTGCTTGCCTTAATGATTGTAGCATGTAATGATCTGAAAGTTGTCATAAAAAGCAACTGTAGTATGAAAGAAGAAAAATTCAAAATTTAAAAATTAAAAACAAGTTGGAAAACCATTTAGACAATACTAGAAAGTTAGTTTATAAAAAGAATTAATGAAAGTATCTTTTCTTATTAACATAGCTATATCAATGAGTTTACAACCTCATGATTATAAAAGTATTTACTGTGCACAATAATCTCCCATCTTATCAATTCAATGGTGAACTGAATATTATACAGTGAAAATCTCTGAGCAAAATTTAGTTAATAACCAGAAGTCAGGCTGTGAACTTATTGATGCCTTCTTGTAAGGATAACAGAAGTCAGGTTCTTGGAGGGATAACATTTGAGCAGTGCCTGTGAGAATGTCGGACAGCCAGCATAAATGTGCTGGACCTTGAAACCTGAAGTGCCTCAAGAAAATACCTTTTGGGTTTGCAGAGGGTGGTGGGAGGGGCTTCTTTACAAAAGGTAGAGAGCAAAATTAAGAATCAGTATTTTATTAAAAAAAAATATGAAGACTAAAACCAGTTCCAAAGAAGCTTAAAAGTGCATTTTTCAAACTTTCATTGAAGAAAAATGCGAGATGAGTTCCTCAAAATTTGATTCTTGTGCCAAATCACACTTGATTGCAAGGGTTGCCAAGGTGGTAAGGCGATCTTGAAGCATTGCTGTACGTTGGTAGTTCTTTATTCATTTTAAGTGATTAAAAGAGCTCTCTCTATGAAGTCTTGGGAATGTGAAGTGTCATATTATTAGAATGACATGCATAAATATTTGTCAGAAAAAATACAAATAAAGACCTGAATAGAAAAATGATATTTAACATATCATAACCCTACCAGACAGACACACTTACAGACACTCTTGTAAGACACACTAGATCAAGTTTGTTTGTCCCAGCATATCCTTTTCCAACCAGGGGCCTCAAAATAATCTGAGTACCGGACCTTGGAAATTTTCTCCCTGGTACTGAATTTGAGTGTATAATTTCTGCAATGATTTTTATTGTATTTTTTATGTTTTTTTATTGGTTACCTTATAATTTTGGTTAGTTTTTTTTTTTTTTAATCTTACTCATAATTTAACATTTTGTGGGATTCTATCGTGTTTCATCTACAAATCTTCAATGTGAATTTCTGGATTCATTCAGTGTTTCAAAATGCATGTATTTTTTAAGCTTGTTCTCTATAACCTTGTAATATTATTTAGTTGTTTTTCATTTTCCTCATAATAAATTTCCCATTTTTTATGGGATTATCTCTTGTTTCATCTACAAATCTATAAATTAATACATTTGTAGCTATTTATGGTGTGTGTCACATCTGGTATCACAGATGATGTGAGGGAAACAGAGAGAGAGAGACATAAAGAGTAAAATAGAGAAAGTAGAGAGACAAAAAGAGTGTGACGCAGATAGGGAATGAAAGGCAGTTACTTTAGATGAAGGCAGTTATTTGTAGTGAGGGGTTAAAACATGCTTTGTGACCTAATATTCTGTTGAGGACATTTCAGTATTTTTATCACTTTTCTTATAACTATCTGGGAATTGTCATGGATTGAAAAGTAGAGTGCAGCATTAAAAAAATTATTAATATATCCATGTAATTTACACAGGTCTTGCTAGTTATCTTTAATGTGAACTTCTGGTTTCATCTGACAGCAAAATGTTTTTATTTATTTATTTGTTTATATTTGTTCTCCATCATCTAGTAAGATAATTTAGTTTTTTCATCTTCCTTATAATAAATTTAACATTGTTTTATTTTTTTGTGGTATCCTATCTTGTTCAATCTACAAATCATCTTCAGGTGTGAATTTCTGGATTCATTCAGTGTATTGAATACATTTCGATGCTCAATCACAAAGGAAATGTTTTGAAATTGACACACTGTTAAAGTGATAAATATTTCTTTGTGCATACAAGAGACATCATTGTGAACTTTTATTTTTTATTGTCATAAGAAAGAATAAGAAACAATAGTTAAATCTTAACTGATCATTTCTTTTCTGTTTTAGGGTGAAATTTTGTTTTTTATGTTAAACTATCTGGATCAACTGTCTTTAAGCCGATTATCTCAAACATGTAGGTAAGGTGATTGAAAAACTTTTTATTGTATTCCCAGTTGTTGCACTTCTAAAAAATATCTTCAAATTATATAATAAACTTACATTGTATTTTTAATGTAAAAATATGGTAACAATCATATTTTTCTCTGTATTTATTATAGTGTGATTGTTACTTCAATGCAGTAACAAGAGCATTACATTGTTCTTAATCACTATCATTTTCATTCTATTTTTAGTTTTGATTTGGTATAGAATTCATCCACCTACTTGTCAGTACAGTACTTGAATATATTTTAATTTGGAGTATAATATGACACCCACAAGGTCTTCAGCAAAACCTGTATTGTTAATGAAATTTGGGCAATGTTTAACCTTTGTGTCTGCAAAAAACTAGTGTGTCAAAAGGATGGTTATTCCATTGACACTGCTATTACTGTATACACTTTTGACTCCCTCAGCAATGTTTATTGTTTAAAAAAAAAAATGATTAGAATTTTGATAAACATATGAAAGTGGATTTATACTTTTTCTTTATTCTTTAGAATTGACAACAAAGATATTCTTTATAAAATGGTAAACCATAAATCTTTATAATTAATAAATAATAAATATCACATTGCACTTAGTTCACAAATTTTTATAATCTTGTAAATAAACATTGCTGAGGGAGCCAAAAGTGTATACAGTAATTGTGACATCATGGGAATAACTGTCCTTTTAAAATTCTGTTTTTGTTGCCACAAAGTTTAAACATTGCCTAAATTTATTTTAAAAATTAATTTTACTTTTCTGTTGACACAGATTCTTCTTTTTTTTTGATATAAGTTTATTTTTGTCTGAAGAAAATTTTTTTCTCTAGCTAACATTTTTATTGAACACATTTATGTGAAAGAAGTCACTTCTCCATGTCCCTTTTTTATAAGACATGTTTTTCTAAAAGAGATTCATTCTCAATGTCACTCTTTTATAAGACCCATTTTTCCAAAAGAGATTCTTTCTCCATCTCCCTCTTTTATAAAACCTGTTTTTCCTAAAGAGATTCCTTCTCGATGTCCCTCTTTTATAAGACCCATTTTTCTAAAAGAGATACCTTCTCGATGTTCCACTTTTTTAAGATCTGTTTTTCTAAGAAAAGGTTCCTTTTATTCTCTGTTCAATTATGTTAAAAAATGATCTTATTTTCCTTGTAGAACAGACACTGTGCAGTCAACAATATCAAAAACAATGTGTATGCGTGAAATTAAGAATATAAAATGATGACACTTTACCCATCGCACCCTGTATGCCAACAACAGGCTATGTAAATTTCGTAAAGAGATATATAAACATCTTGAAAATGAATATGTCAACAGCAGGCTTTTGTAAAGATGTATATGTACATATTGTAAACATATACATATCAGCAGCAAGCAGTATAAGTTTCGTAAAGACATACACATATACCCATAGCAGCAGAAGGGTTAAAATAAAAGTTTTATAGTAACTTTACTCAGGTCATCAGTTAATATCATTGTGTGACTCAAACACATGACTCTTTTTGTCTTAAGGAAACCTGGATAAATACAAAAAACGTTTTTACCAATTGTGCTATAAAAATTGAAGAGCTTCACAGAATATCATATTTAATATTTAAAAATTTCAGGACAATGATACTAATCATCTAAATTATAAAATCAAGCTCAAATAACTGACTACCAATGAGTGAATAAATTTTTTTTTTTTTTTTTTACAATGATGTTCACCCTGTACAAAGCCCAAAAGTTACTTGAGGTAGAGAATAAGAGGCACACCCCAAGCAAAGTAATAATGCCACTAAGATGCAAGGAGTCAACAGATGTGGAAGATAATGAGAAGACTTTAGAAGGAACCAGAAATTCAATCCTAAACAGGAAACAAGGAATAAAACTCTACTCCTGTTCAAACGATTAGGGAGGAGTATGAACCAAATGATAGGCAAACCAATTTACTCCTATTGATGAAAAAAATGTAGATAAATAGTAAATAAAATTTCAGAGTTTAGGCAGTAGAAGTTCGTAGTAGTTTTAGAAGTATAGAGTTGAAGTAGACTTTAGACAAAACCGAAAACCCAATCATAAACAGGGATAAAACTCTAATCCAGTTTTATGATAGACTAGCTATAGCAATGAAAGTAACAACTTATCTCATCAAACAAAATATCCACAGGTCACTTGTTCTCTGCTGAAAATAATTAGGGTTAAAAATGTTTCCAGCTATTTTGGTATCAACTGAAAATGGATGGCAATATCGCTAACCTGAAGTTGATCATCAAGTTTCACAAATTAGCACCAGGTCCATCCTTGGTTGAATGGGTAGAGAAAGCAGAGTTTGTCCGTAGGATATATAGCATAAAGCAACTCAAGCACATCATCTCTCTTGGGTTGACAGCTGGTGATATTTACTGGAAACAATCTGAGTTGACAAGTATAGTGCATGTCCTTCCATTAATCTTTGATTGTGATTATGGGCAGTGCCACTTTCACCTCCTGCCAACCTCAGGGAGGTTGGGTCATTTTACACCATGCTTCCCACTTCCTGTAGATGAACTCTGTCTACTCTACCCATTCTACTATGTACAAGTTAGGAATTGATTTATCCAACCTGCCATATATCCATTTTCTGTTGATGCCAAAATAGCTAGAAACATGGTTTATGTTTTTTTTTCCTCTCCAGAGAACACATGTGACATATGGGCATTTCAATCAATGAAGTAAATTAATACTTTCATTGCTACGTGAGCAAGACTGAGAATCATGATGGAGAGTTACATCACCCTTTTTAAATATTCAATTCTTCAGAGTAATTATGCTTGACTCACACAGAGGAAATTTACCAGAAAAAAAAAACTACGAAAAAATATGAACTTTGAAACAACTTGGTTGGAAGAGCATTAGACTGAAGATATGAAGGTTCTTCTCCCACCCAATTCTGATGATTAGTTTATTTTTGATATCATCAAATGCTATTTGTGAGAAAATGGTATTTTAATAGATTTGTCTAGTTTGAATTAAATAAGAGCTTTCTTCCTTCTCTTCCACTTGACACTCTCAGCAATTGAGCAACTGGCAAAAATCCTTAGTGGGGGTTAATCCTGAGTGACAAAGGTTTTCCAGGCAACAGGCAAACCACTCCTTTTTCTCATAGTTTTCAAAACACAATTCTTTTTTAAGATGGCAGTTGAACACTCCTTCCTGGTGACAAACAAGGGCAGATAGTTTTATTTTTGAGTTGACTGTGACTCCTTTTATAGCAACAAAATTTGTTTAGATTCACCCACAGAGAATTGACTGTTATATTGCATTTAAGTAATAATATAAATTAATAATACAGCAGCTTTTATGTTGTTTGGCCAAAATATTTGACCTCTCTATTCATTAGTCCTTTGTTGTTATAGGAATTACTGCAAAACCATCTCCCTCCCCAAATTTAAAGAAAAATTGCAGTAGATACGTACTGGTATTTTTTCTTAGCCAATAAGGTAGATTACTTCTTGGTATCATCTGCCATATTCTGTTCATTCTTGTCTTGAAGTCAGAATGCTATGATTACTTGACTGTATCTCTTTTGTGCATTAAAACTATTCTTAGTTTGTGAACTTTTTTGCCTTGTTACTCTTGCTTTGCCCAGTTTTGTCTTGCATCTATTATCTGCTTAGTATTATTTTTGCCCTGTTTTTTTCTTTCGTTATTGTTTATTGCAAACTTTGTCAATTCTGTTTGTTGGGCATTTCTGCTAATTACATCTAACCATGGCCAATTATTCTACATCCTCATTCATATTTTGACATTTTCTTTGATTACAGGTATTTAAGAGAACATACATATGATAGCTTTCTCTGGATGGAACTTAACTTAAAACCTTATTGGCATCAGGTAATTATCTCTTTTTTTTCACTTTGGTGTCATCTATTAGTGCTACAAGAAGTAGAATCATCACAAGATGATGTTTTATTTGCAAAGTATTTGTTTATAACTGTGTGCACTTACATAATGAGTTTGCTTGCTCTGAATGATTTATCTTGGTTTTCTTTGAGCTTTTTCTCTCATGTGATGATGTGATTTGCACATCACTGTACAAGTTGTGATGACATCCAAGGTTGGCTGTATATGAATTGTTACAGACAATTACCACAGCATAAAATTTAAAAAGAAAAGATTAAAAAAAATTACTGTTTAGAAGACGCCAGGCTTACCACTCCAAAGTGGATGGATACTCTACATGGTCAAATATATGAATCAGGAACGACAACCAATAGTAATGAACAACAAACGCCAATATACAAATTAACAAGATTTAATTATAACTAGACACTACATGAAAACATTAATGCAAGAGAATGCATGGAAAAATATGTGCTATACATTTCTGTGTAGAAAGATGTATGCATTATATTCTGAGATTAAACAATCACTCAGATTCAGGCTTTTGCCTGAAATAAAATAGGGTTTTCTTTTTTCCCTTTTCTTTCTCCTGTTTTATGTTTCTCTTTGTTTTTTCTACTTTCAGTTCAGTTCATTTGCTCAAGCAGCAGTATCTTTTGATCTATTCTCTTTTCTTCACTGTTATGAGTATAAGTTGTATATTCTGCAATGTAGAATTTACTATTCAGATTCTTCATCTAATTGAATGAGTCACATGCCTGTCTTAGGTGATTGCCATGCTTAGCAATTCACCTATGCATTTGATGTAAGCAGCATAATGAGTTGAGTTGAATTGGAATTCATCTTCATCATGTGATTTCCTTTGCTTGGCAGTAACCAGTAAAAAGAGATGTTGTTCACACATGACTCAGTTCCCAATTTATTTTATACTGGAAGTTTGTGTGAGTTGGAGATGGCATTCCTTCTCTTCAGTTCAGTGAATCAATTCGCATGATGGTTTTATGGATGGTTTGACTATCCCTAGAGTTTCTTTGCCCCAATTGGTATTCTTCTAATATTTCCTGCTCAACGCTCATACTTGGTCACATGATTTTGCACATGTGTGGGAATCTGTTGCCTGTTTGACCTAATTGTTTTTGTAGTCAGTGACTACTATTACAGATTGAAAGAGAGAGGGAGATTTAATGTATTATATTATTAGAGAGGTTGAAAGAGAGATGGGTTGCGAAGTGTAAAATGTGTGAGGTTAGGAGTTTTGGACTGTGTTAGGCCATAACAGAATAAACCCATGCTGGCTATGTTCCACAGGGCCATGATCAACATCAACAAAGAATAATGACAAATACTTTTCAACACACTTTTTTGGTTGAGAAGTAGCAAAAAAATATGATTTTCACTCAAGTTCCAGCCATGGAAAAGTGATACCTACACACTCACTGCCTGGTCGTTTCATTGACCACTGGCCATTTCATACACTGCCTGGCCCTTTCATTGCTTGCTGGTCCTTTCACTAGTACTTTCATTATATGGATATTGACTTGGGGACCCACTACCCCTTTCTGTTGACTTGTGTTCCACTAACTAGAAACGGGTCCACCCAGGCAGCTTTTGGGTAGTTAGTTTCTTCAAAGGATCCCACTTTTGCAGTTATCTAAAATCACAAACAAAATTTTGTTTTGTCATCAGAATTGATGCTTTAAAAGTATTAAACTAATGCTAAAAATACATATATTGTAGTATTCCTGCTGTTAAAAAAAGATATAAAGCATTGAAAAAAGTAACAATCACTTTAACATCTTCTCAAATTTTATGTATTTGTTAATAAAATAAAGCATTTAAAAATTAATCTTTTCATTGGAAAAATAGGTTTAATTTTATTAATAAAATAATTTTTATGTCTTTGCCAGGTTTTTTTAACTTTCCATAAATTATGATGGTTTCCGATTAAACAATTTAGATTGCTTTGGTGGGAACTATGTTCAGCTGACAAAATTGTTGGGGATGTTGTTCGGCTGAGAATATTTGTTGGTGACATTATTTGGCTGCTAAAATTTGTTGGGGATGTTGTTTGATTGACAAAACTTGTTTGTGATGGTATTCAGACAACAAAAGTTGGAGGGGATAGTGTTCAGCCCCCAAAACTTGTTTGAGAAAGTGTTAAACTGCTAAAATTTGTTTGGGGCAGTGTTAAACCGACAAAACTTTTCTGGGATGGTGTTAAGCCAACAAAACTTGTTTGGGATAGTGTTCAAATGGCCATTCTCAGGAAAGAGACTGTTAAAGTTATCCAAAATTTGTTAACACAATATTTAACCAAAGGCGACTAAAATTGATTATCAATAGACATTAATGTAAATACTGAAGTGAAAAGAAATGTAGCAATGGGGAATTGATATTAAAGGTCACCTGAGTAAATATTCTAATCATATAAAGCTAGAAATGATATCAAGATATTTCATGGAAAAATCTTCTTTTGTCACCTCCAGTGCAATATGTTGGAGAAAATCTATCATATTATGTACACACATGTATATACAAGAGAAATTTTCAAAAAGTTAATAGAAAAAGCATATTATAAGAAACCTATTCTAAATATTTTGATATTTGGTTGCAGCTTGGACTTGCATGTATAACCTTTGTTGTGAAGGTTTTTTTAGTGAATAATTAATGGCTCCTAGAACATTTGTCCCACAAACAATATTTGGCGGATTCATGTGATTCCAGGTAAAAATAAGAAAATGCAAAAAACAAATCACAATTAAATGCATATTAACACAAGAAATAATATTAATGTGTACACAAAAATGGAATTAAAGGAAAAGATATTAAAAATTATGCTATTAAGGATGTGCTTGTTTGTGTGTGTTATACAAGCATAAGTGATAAACATGTGTGTATATACATGTGTGTGAGAGTTCAATAGTCTGTGGGCAAAAGAAACAAATTTGTCCCAGCAGCAATGTTTTTATCTAAGTGCAACTACATCTGGAATCAAGAGGAAAAAGAGAGAAAAGAGAGAAAGCAGAAGGAAATGTTTGATGTTTTATAAACTTAAAAAGCACCATTTAATGAGTCTTTTGGAAATTTTTTTTTTTTATGAATCACAAATATTTCAAGGTAATAGCTTGAAGTTTACACCTGTAGTGAACGCATGACAGTACAAAAGCAAAAGAGGCCCTGAGTTGAGCGCAGACATGTCTGTTAAAACTAGTTGCATCTGGGTTTTCCCTGTTAGCAGCAGAACAGCTTGTCATGTTCAGATATAGGCCTCTCTGCAACTTGTCTAGATCTGGATTTCTCTCAACTGTCTCCTGTCAATAAAAGCAATGGGAAAACCAGCAGTCAGTAGTGAGCAGTTGGTGAGATTCAGTTGTCTTGTGAAGTCAGTCCTGTGGATATTTTTTTCCTAAAGTTGCTGTACCATGGCTTCTAAGGCAATATTACTTTGTTACCTCTCCTCTCTTTCCCTTCTCTAACTATTACCCATGTATTTCTTGGAAAAGCAATCAGGTGTTTCCCCCCAACCTCAACACACTCTTGCCATATTTTACAACAAAACAGCCTTCTTTAAAGTAATATAAATCCTGTTAAAATTGAAACAAGAACTAATGTCAAAATTATGGTAAAACTTGGTAGGAAGACTGAAGATATAATTGGTTCTTTGAGAAAAATGACATAATTACAACCTTGCTGCCCATGCAAAAAATAATCAGCAATCTACAAATTCATTTCAAAGAAAGACAAGACAGAGTTGAAGTATAGCAAAGAAAACGGCGACTTACCTCGTCAAACCAAGCGACAGCGCGTCGTGTGTATTCTATGATGGAAAATGTGGTGAAAAAGAAAATTACTTACCAAACAAAAGGGCACGTATTCTGCATGACATGCTGAAAATGGAATATTTGAATTAAAAAACAAGTCCGTCGCAGGAGTCACTATAAAAGTATTTTGATATGCAAATTACTGAACATCCTTTCCCAGCTGTTGACGAATGAAAAAAAAATGTTCAGATGATAAAAGCAGTTAGTGTTCTTGAATTGGGAGGAGAAAATTCGGGTATTTTGGCTACCACGTTTGTTAGAGAGTGAGTTATTTTCCTGACTGGTTACACGCATTGTGATTTTGGAGATAGTACCGGCGAATCAAGTTTTCAGCATTTCTTTCTGCCCCCGATATTTGAGTCTGTACTTACAGTGATTTTTCTTTGTGTTGTGGAAGTAATCTGCAACAAATACTTCCTTTGCTTTTAGAATGCTTACATGAAGTTCATGAATGAATCGTCAGACTGTGAGGAAAAAAAATGTTAATGCTGTTTGTGATTTAAGGGTGATCACAATTAACAATAGAAATAATAGCTTACACTTGAGGTATTTTAATTGATTCAGCCTATACAGTCTTATCTGAAAAAGTTGTACAAACTTTTTGTTCATTAGATATCAAAACTATTTCACCCATATCATCAGCAGACAAGCAAATCTTTCAATGGAAAGTTTAAACAAATGAAATCAAAACCCTAAAGATTTTCTGAAGTGAATTGTAAGAGGAGATGAAACTTTGGTTTACCAGTACGTTTACGAAGACAAAACTCGGTCAAATAAAACCAATGGTTTTTTTGTGGGTATTATCCATTTTTTAGTTTATACTTTTAAAGGTAAATTCCTAAACTATTTAAAGAAAGACCCTTGTTCAGATGGCATGGGAATAACAAATGACATTACTGTTGATCACTTTCATTAATCCCAATAGTCGTAAAAAAGTATATTTGGAGATAAAGTAAGAGAAAGACAAATCATGTGAAACTGGATACAACCAGGAAATAAAACTGAACCATTTAGTGTGACATAAATAGAAAACAATTTATAGCAAACAAACAGTAAGGAAGAAACTGTGTAGCTGGTATATAAAATCTCTGTATCTGAAATGTAAAATTGTGTGAGTCTTTTTTAGGACAATGAAATGTGTTCTGGTTGGGATAGCTTCATTTTGGGAGA